GTTTGCATTTCAGGGACCTACTGAACTCTTGGAAAGTGAAAGCATATACATACAAAAACACATACAACGACTCCTCCGTTTAAAGTCTGGCAATTTCCATCAGCATCTTGCCTTCTGCAAGAGCCTCACCTGGGTTTCTGAATGTTTTTTAACTCCTCATCTCGCCAACTAAAAACTGAAAATAACACAGTGTACTATTTAAAAGCTAGACTTCCCAGCAATTTTTGTGAAGCATAAAGTATCACTAGCTACTAGTCACTGAAACATTCCCAGCTTAGTATTACACAAAAAGTCTTTACACAAAAAGTGTAAAGAGAAAGTAATTAAAAGAGCAAGAACGGAGCTACATGACCGTATTGGGAAGCCCAGCTTCCCAGGGCACATACAACCACAGCTTCCAGCCTCTGTTGACTGAGAGATACAATTTTTTTAAAGCTCTTGTTGCCCTCCCCGCCCCCCAATTAGCTGTGGGGTTTTGTCACTGAATCAAGATTTAACGTAACAAGCCCCAAACCTAGGAACTGTTTAATTCCTGACACTGGATGTGGCTTCACTGATGTTGCTTCCACCTCTTCTTTGGCTCTTTCTTGCCCTTGAGGTAATTTTTCGTGACATTTTCATGAGATCCACTTCTAACCTTCCTCCCCCTTGAAAACATACATAGAAATATGAATGGCAGGCATGCAATCTGTGCGGAGACACAGCACAGAAACTTGCACCTTGCACTCTTTTTCTATGTAAATAATGCAAGGATCCTGCGGGAACATGCCAGGGATTGGAATTTTTAATTAATGGGTCTCTTTAATGTGCAAATCAGGAGCAGATTGCAAATTCTGACTTGCATTGATTATGAAAAACATTAATTGAACGTGCAAGACCCCAAACAGAGGCAACATCTCAAGCCCTGGACTAGACTGGAAGATATGGTGCAAGAGAATACAAATGTATCTTGGAGAAACAGACCACTCCAGGCAACAGCACCTCAGAAACGTAAGCTGTGGGAGTTCACGTGTGCCGTGCATTAAACATTAAACATTTGCACTGCATTCAGAGCGCAGCCACTGTGATTTCAGTATTAAAAACCACTCAGACTTTCTCCATGGATGCAAAACAGGAATAAACATGAGGTCCATGACCACAGTTTGGTCTCCAATTTGTATGTAAAAAGGGTGACAGAAAAAAAAAAAATCTGGAATATAATTAAAGATTAAAAAAAAAAATAAAAAGGAAAGAAAAAGTAAGACAGTGCAAACAAAGCAATGCTGTCTCTTTAAACAGAAATTCATCCTATATAAATTATGGCCATAAACTTTTCCTGCAGTGCAGCCTAATTAATTCTTGTTCTATACACAAAGGGAAATGCTGGGTGACAAATGGGTGTGAAGCCTGAAAGCTGCCAGGTCTGCAAAACATTTTCTACTTCAATTTATAAGCAATTTTGCAGTAAATCATCCACCAGAACCTGAGATCTCAGGAATCCAAGACTGTCCAAGGCGCGCTGTATCATTTTTTTTTAAAAAAAAAATTTCATAAAAGATTACAAAAATAATAAACACTTGAAGTTTTGTAACCTCCAATCCGAAAATTTGGAAAACAAGCACGACCTTACCATTTTCGCTCAGATTTGGCTTTAAAATTCCAAATGTATAGAACATTGCTGCCTACTCTTCAACACAATTATACTCAAACCCTTAAGGAATTTCACTACCACCACTACATGCACAGAAGGCTGTCACAAGTGGGAGATACCAAGGAGGCAAATACACGAAGGACCGTTTTCCATGTCAAAAAAAATCACCCTTCCTGTGAGCGCTGAGCAGAAATGTCATGAGCAATGGAAGGACTTGGGATAAATCACTGAAAGCGTTCTGGGGCAGCGTTTCAAAGAGATGCGAGGGACTTCTCCAGGACCTCAGAGAGAGCTGGGTGCCGAGACCTCTCTGTGCCCTCCTGCCTTCAGCAGGCTACAGCGTGCACCCAGAGTCTGGATGTTTGGCACCAACTGCTTTGTGCAACTTGAACACCAAATCATTTCCTCCTATTCAATGAAGATGATGAAAGCATGCCAAGTCTATTCTGTGGATTTGGAAAGAAGTGCTGAGGCTTCCCTCAGAGTATCATCCAGTCCAAAACAGTGTCAATGTCATGATTATCCCAAATCCTGTCCAAGACTGAAGCGCATCACGTACAATGGAAGCACCTCAACCTTCAGTATTTACAAAGTCCTGTCTTCCACTCATCTTTAAACTTACTCACGCACAGTTCTTCTCATTTTTCCTGTCTGGGGAATGGGATCCTACCCACAAGCTGGTAATACAACAGGGTTGAGAACTCAGGAGTCCTGAAATGTTTACCCAGCCCGCTACATCACCATTCAGAATCGAGTAAAAAAGTTCATTTTTATAGAAGCCACTAAATCACTTGATCAGCTGAAAATTAGGACTTTTATTGGAAGCTGATTTATAACAAGTGAGATTTTTTCCCACTCATAAATCAAGGTGCATCAATTCATGAAAAAACTTTAAATATATTATCATGAATATTTTCAGAAAGGACTTAAGTTTCACCTCCTGAACTGACAGGTCGCAACCCCGTTATCCAGGCAGAAGCTCCGTGAATGAAGACGTAACACAGCTCAGACTGCCCACGGGGTAAAACTCTAGCTGTTGATTAGACATGAATCCCTCTCCCAGGGCCCAACACAGCAAAGTGAGAGAGAAACGGGTCTTTGCTACATAACACCAGCTACAGCCTTAGTCTTTCCTTAAGATCTTCACGTGTAAGTTTACTCCTTATTTCATGCTTGGTACTTTGTAACTTCTGGAAAGAGCAACTCTGCAGGGCAGTGAAAGATAGCTACATTGGACAACAGTGTAGCTCATCAAAAATAACTATTTATTGTCACCTACTTTACTGTACCATTGCAGATTGTATTTTTAAAAAAATAGAAATTAAAAAAAGGAATATAAATTGCGTCCCTTAAAGAACACTGGAAAACGCTACACAAGTGTAGCAGAATTTTCCTAAATTCATTACTTCCCGTCTGCCAGTCTGAGCGCTTCCTCTGCTAACTTTGCCCAGGTCGCTCCAGCTGTATTTTCTTGCTGCCTTCAGAGGTGAAATACAGAACACGAACCCAGGCTATCAGGAACATCAGATACTGCAACTTTCCTGCCCAGATTACATGAAGAGGGTGGGAAGGGAATCACCAAGCAGTTATTAACAGTGGATTTTCCTTTAGTGTTCTGGACAACTGGAAGATTAGACTCTCTGCTGTACTATGTACAGTATTATACTCCATGTTCTTGGACGTATTTTGCTTACGGGAAGTATCAAAATGTCAACCATTGTTTCTGTTAAAGGTCCTTAATGATATTGCATTTTAGACCCGTAATGAAACACGGCGCTCGGTGCAGTTTGTAATGCATCTCATTAAATACATTAACAACATGTATTTCACTGAAAGGTCAGCTTAGTATTGCTGGGAGTTCGCCTTTTTTTCCTTAATCATTTCATTTAAAGCAGCAGAGCTAACTTTAAAATATAAAGAATCTCACCTGCTGTAACTCCAGGTAAACGGATTAGCTACCATGTTCAGATCAGGTACAAGCCGCAAGGTGACAGTCAAAATTTGGTGTAGGGGCAAGATTCAGGGTCAAGTTTGATGACGGTGAAGTTCCTAATCCAGTTTTAAGATGACTCGGGCCAGCCCAGGCTAAAATTTCTCAACGCGCAGGTATCGCTACAGCATGTACAAACCGGCACGTCGTGTGACTGAATGGATGTACAACCACAGCAAACAGACAGTTTGGATGACTGAAAGTTCAGCACAAGAGGCTGCAGAGACCACTACAGTGTTTCCTACCAACTGGTTCACATAAGGGGGCTTCCCGGGATCCTCCACGGGGGGCTCACCTACGGAGCTGAGATGTTCTGGAAAGTGAGCAGTATCTCAAGATTGGGAAAGATGAAATAGAAGTGAAAGGGATAACCAACCTGGCATGCTTTAAAATGCTACTGGGCTTATCTTTATTATTCAAAATCACTGGAAGAATATCCTATGAAGTTCATTAATCTCCGATTAGTGAGATCAGAAAAAAAGAACAATCTGTGTATAAGCATTGCCATCTGTGTTGATGACAATCAACACATTGATTGTTGATCAATGTCAGGGAGAAACGGACACCAACTGATACCTGCAGTAGTTTGTATTTACCCCCAAGGATAACACACCAGACATTTATCTCCCTGTGCATTTACCTTAAGGCCAGTAAAAAAGGTGTCCAATTCAAAAAATTTAATAGACCCACAACACACTGAAGTTGAGTACTTTGCACTTATCAGCTGGAGCATGCGCATTATATTTGCCGCACTGGAGAATCTACTACAAATCTCATCAGACCAGTATCATTAATAGTGATCCAAAGAAATGACCAGATGAAGCAGCTCCAAGCTGAAAAGATATCTGCCTTTGATTTAACAGCACAGGCCCCCTCCTTTGGGCTACATTAGTCCTGGCTAGGGCAAATCTTTGCATTCACTGACCCAGCACAAAATTGGTACCACAAGGTGTCTCTGGACAAAGCAGCACCCCAACTCCGCACTGAACCGCAATAACCGAACCAATTATTCCTACGATGCAGTACGAAACTTAGATTTGATAAGCTAACTTCAATCCCCACATGAACTAGAAATAGCAGCAGGACCTGAGCTGAGGCTTTCCAACATTACGTGAGTGACGACAGGCCATTAGCAGAGATCAACCAGGCATATACAGACGTGGGTGACAGGAGACATGTTCTTGTCTGGGGTAGGAAGCACTTTTTGGTTCCTGTTTGCATGCTACCTCATTAATGATTAAGGCAATACAAACCAAGAGCTAATACTACAGACACAGGCAACTCAAAGCCCTCGCTTTCCTATTAACACTTCCCCACACAGGCAAAACATATTGGCTACAGCAGAGTCTACCCAAAGTAGAAAGATTGAAGAATTCTTACAGTTCTCAACAGCATTGTCGAATTCTTGTCCACCTTCCTTTCTGAAGATTGGGTAAGTATCTGGCTGTGGAAGCCGGTTGACTGTTACGAGCGCCTTCTGCATCTTGATTCTCCCTTCCAATAGTTGATCCCACAGTGCTTCATAACAAAGAGAAAAATGGAACAATTTTAGTAAACCCAAGCACTTGCTCCTCATGAAGGAGCTGTTAAATGGACAGCACAGGCCCTCTCCTTTGGGCTACATTGCTCCTGGCTCGGGCAAATCTTTGCATTCACTGACCCAGCATAAAATTGGTACCCAAGGTGTCTCTGGACAAAACCGCATCCCATCCTATAGTCCTGACTGCAATTCTGTGACCCACAAAAAAAAAAAAAAAGTCATCCCTTTGCTTTACTGTTTAAAAGGACATTCTGCAAATGGGAGGTTTGATAGCTTAATAGGACAGGTAGGAAGAAATTGCATTTGGTATTACATTTTGAAAAGAAACAGAAGCGGTATCAGCATCACTGCACAGCGCTACCAGTGTAGGAAGTCCCCATCCCCACCAATACCACGAGTATACTCAGTAGTGGTTCAATTAAGCCAGTGGATAAATACACTTCATAACACGAGATTTTGTACCAGCAGTGACACCAGTTTGCACAGCAGATTGGGCAGAACATTTGCAAATGACTAGGGCTGCTGTAGCACGCACATGCTGTACGCTAACAGCACGTCAACATGCTGAAGCGGTTCCTAACATGGCCAGTTTCTATAGAGTCAGCAAGGCGAAAGTCTCGTCAAAATACAAAGCAAACATGCACAAACCTAGCTGGTTCTTCACAGCTTTTCCTTTTTCTACTTCTTCAGCCTCTTGTCCTTTTGAGAACGTCATCACCCCCCCGTCACCTTCACTGTCTTTGGTTTCCTTTATGTCATCATGGTTTTCACTCCCATATTCCTCCTCATCGCTTCCTTCTTCCATGCTGGCATCATCTGTGTCTTCTCCTTCACTGCTTCCTACGTCATCCATTCCCTCTGTAAATTTCTCGAGGTCTGTAATATTCTGGAAACTGAACTTCGGTGCCTCGGCCTTGGCAGACGGATCTGTCTCTTCATCATCTTCCAAGTCATCCTCCTGGTCACTGCCAGCACTGCTGAGCTTCTCCTCTGTTTTAGTGCCTAAGCTGCCATTCTCTTCTGCATCTTCACTGCCACTGTACCATTCATCTAATGCTTCTTCAGCTAATAATTAAAAGAGAAAAAAGTTATCTACTTAGCAGCAAAATGGGCCACTTTGCAGTATGCACCATCAATAGCTACAGGTTTGGGCTACTTGAGCTCCAAACTCTGTTTTATCTGTGTGTGACGTTACTCTTTGTTTTGGCTAAATAACGGAAACACGAGGCCGTATCCACAAAAAGACCTCAACTCACTTTTTCCGCAGCAGTGATTAGTAGATCCGTGGCTTAGCCCTCCCATGAAACAATGACATGATAAGCAAACAAGGCGGTCAGAATTTGCAGTCCCCGAGATACGTTGGCTTAAAAGCGGGAGCTATTTCTTTTCCTCCACACAACATTCAGTCAGCGCACTGAGCCTCACTTTACACTTAGTCACGCTCTTTCCTCTGGCTGTAGAACTGACCTCCTCTTTGGGACTTCCCCTCCCCTCGGGCCAAAAAAATATGGCCTGAACTTCAGGAAGGCACTTCGAGAAGACATTCAACATACTTGTACCTGTTTATTGCCCTGTAACAGGGACCTAAAGTTTGTCAGCTCAGCTCAGATTGCACTAGCTCAGTTAACAGGCCAACATCAAATTTTGAGTAGTCTAGCGAAAAGGGGAAAGAAATGAGATTCCTTACCAGATCCTTCTTCAGACAGAGCATCTCCCCAGAGTTCTTCTTGCAAGGCTTTGCGAGATGTAGCTTTTCCATGGTACCTTTTATCAGCTTCCAAGAGAGCAGCTGAAGCTTTTTTCCTTATATTACCAACGGGGAAAATGTCATCTGCAGTTTCGTCCTCAAATTTGTCAATCACTTTAGCAACTGTAGCTGTGGGGAAAAAAGAGGGGGGAGGGATGTCTTAACCAAACTTAATTTCAGACTGGAAGAACTCGCTGCAGGAGGGAGCCATCCTCCTCCGTGGAAAACTCTTCATGCTCTACAAACTGCAAAATATACTCAAAATATATACAATGTATACAAAAATATACTGCAAAGGTGAGCTTGATGGCAACACAGCCTCACATAACAGTCTGGCTTTTAGGCTTTGAGAGGGAGCAAGGCTCTTCCCTGCCTGGTGAAGGAAAGCCAGTACACTAATTTTCTGCAAAGAGGAAAAGGTTCCCAGGGACTCAAAGGCAGAGAAAAGGCCTCAAAGCTGGGTTTTGTGCAGATCAGCACCAGGCCCGCCTAGAAACTACTGAGTAAAGTAATACTCAAGACCTAGCAGAAGAGGTAAGACAGCTCCGAGGGTAGTTTTCAGAAAACATCTGGTGACTTCTCTGCGGCCAGAGGTGTTCTCCCACCTGCCAGGTTAACCCCTGCAGAAGGAAGAGAGATGTTACACGAACTGACCAATTCCAACCCCCCCTCTCAGTACTCTGGACTTCTCCGTATACAGGTTTGGTACCACAGGGCTCACCTGCAGTAGAGACGAATGCTTATTAACAAATGCCAAAAATCCTGCCGAATTCTTTTTTCTTTTTGAATGAACATTGCCTACATTCACACTTTCTTCCCTGCCTCTTCCTTATTTTAGCGAATGCACATGAAGCGCTAGCCAAACTAAACCTATCCAAGCCCTTCCACAGATTCCCGAGGGTCTCATGAGAAGCGTAGTCCTCTGGGCGGAGGATTCAGCAAAGCTGGAATGCCTTCACTCACTTGGCGCTTACGGATTAAATGCGGAAAACCGCAATTCGGATGCAGTTTGGCCTCTTGCTATACGTATGAGCCACATAAACATGTAAACATTTTAGAATGGCTAAACAGAGAAAATAATTTCACCGTGGTTATTACCCTCTTTCACACCCATCTTCTCCAGGACACTGGAATGGCACAGTCCAGCAAAAAGAACACATCACACCATACTCCCTCCTTATTTTCATTCATGCGCAAGACACCCTGTATGCAAAATTACAGGGTTAGCTTTGTTCAACCAATTGAGTGATCCAACCGGCTGAACATCGCTAAGTGTTCTTTTAATGTGTGTTTGGAAATGTTAATGCCTCACATATAGTGTTTACTCGAGGCAGGGGGGAAGCAAAAAAATCTCCTGCTCATAATCACAGCAAGAAGATCTGGTCTAAATATAGTCTCTCCAGCTACAAGGGGACGGCAAGATGCTCGGCACTGAGGAATGGCTGGGCAAGAGGGGCAGGTGCAGAATAACCTGTGGCACTCGATGGACCTTCCGGCATTCTCAGCCTTGGCAGCGCCAAAGTATGAAGTCTGAAACTAAATCACGATGACTAGAATGGGAAAACGCTTCTGCTGCCTGCATTAATTTCCTCAACGGTCACGAAGATGTTGCTTACAAGATACAATTGCTCTCACATGTGCCTGTACAGAAGAACCAGGCTACCTGGCACAATGTTTACCATGACCGGTGCCTAATACCTCCTAAAGCCGAGCGCTCTCAGTGCGTGAACTCGCCGTCTCCAGAGGCGAGCGCAGGAACTGTGTGACAGACGTGCCCTAGAGACAGCCCTGCCCCACGGCCTGGCTGCTCCACCGGCCGCTGGGCAGACTCTGCTCCGGAGAGGGTAAATCGAGGAAACGGCAGGCACCAGCCTGGGAACTTAAGAAGATGACACCGCCACCTACATGTCACAGGGAAAGGGGTGAATGTCTCAAAAATGACAACGAAGGCAGAAAGAGCTTGATTAAAAGGTAAGCTGGTTATTGGCCACTGCTCAGCACCGGAGAAGACATATGGCGCGCCGCGGCCTG